CATGAAGTTGTTTCTTTTCCAAAAGCTCGTTCCAAAAATTCTACAGCTAATCTGCGATGCTGCTACATGAACAGAACATCAGTTTAACAATTTGAAATATAATAAATACCTTTTTGGGAGAAAATACTGAACTAAAGTCTGCTATGAGTAAGCTGATTTTCGAGGTAACACAAAAATAGAATTTATATGTGACAATACGTTTAAATATCAGCTGCAAACTTTGTTTGTGAGAAAAGATTAGTTTGCATCGCTTTATTTATTTTTGGGAATCAACTTGGAGTGTACTGCGAAAGTGCCAGCACAATAGTTAAAAAGGAGCTTTTTTAAGGGTCTTTCTAAACTGTGACATTCGAGCTTATGCCTTTACATCCAATCTTGCGAAGTTCCTAGAGCTCTTAAGAACTTTGCTAGCAGTACGACTCGATGCTTATAGAAAGAAAAAGTAGACGCTATGACAAGCGAGTCGAAACATTGGCCCTGCATGAAAAACTTCAAATTGATTGATTTTTCAGAATTTACTTACGCTCTTGGTGTAAAAGAGCGGCTGCATTACAGTCCACCGATTGTATCGTTATTTATCTAATTTTACAATGAAAAATCTATCCATAAATTTCACATTTAAAAAAGTTGTGAATCAAATTACAGATTTCAACTTAAGACTGCATAGTTCTATTCGTTATGGCTACTATTCTAGTGAATACAGTCGCCATCTTTCATGATGCTAAGTCTCGAAAATGTTCAGAGGAGCGCCGAGGATCAGTATGATTAAGGAGTAGATATTTTTGAGAATATGAAGGAGGAAGAGGAATGCAATGGGAACGGCATCCAGCTACATGAATAATTCATCTTTACGAGGGAAGGCTCAGTATTTGTGCTGACTACTTATTAATACGTCTTAATAAATCTTTAGGACTCTATTTAGCAGGTTTGAGAGCAAAATGATAAGTAAGCGAATGATTTGAAACTGAATGAACAGCTGTGTGAGTGATTGAAGCGCGTCCCGATGAGCTCGCATGTGTCTCAAATAAAAGCTCGCTCTCGCACACACACTCATCACGTTGTTTGCAAGTGGAGGTGTAAACAGAGCAGGAAAAAA